AATTTGGGAGGAGCAGGGAGTCTGTCAAGGCGCATGCACCGAATACAACCAGGCTGGACCCTACTGAAAACCCTCGCCTGCGCTCTCTTTCACACACACACTCATACTCATGCGCGCAATGAGAATGTGCAGGTGATCACTGAAGTGTGAAATGATTCTGTTATCATGTCGTCTGTGTGGAATATATTTTCCCATCAAGCTTCCATGGCAGGTGTGCCTGATGGGTTTGTGGTGCTGGTGTGTTTTGGGGTGTGCATTTAGTTTCTGTCTCCATCTGTTATTGGGTAAGAAGGGTTGAAGCGGTGCACGTTCAAACGAGCATTAGTAGCTGGAGTTCAGCCTTTGTCATTTGACACAGAGAAACTCCAACTCCAAAATACTCCAAATATTTCTTCTGAGCTCAATGTATGTGAAGTCTTTGGATTCTATTGGATCTTTAATTTACATTGGAATAACAGAGGCTGTCCCATATTAAATGGGAAAATCATCAGGCTTAAAATATATAGCATTTTGCACACATTTCAGCCCAAATTGAGTATGCGTCTATCTGCTAATGACAAATTACAGGAAAATCTCAAAGCCTTGACCCTTGTCGAGGGGTGCAGTAAGCATTTCTGTACTGTTCGGGTCGACAATATGTGTAGATTTTGTTTTTACCACAGACTGTGTAAACCCTCAGCCACTGGCTCAGCATTAGCATTTTGGTAGCCACCATGTTCTTTTTTTTTTTTTTTTTTTTTTGAAGCCAGAAGTTAGCTTGTATGGATAAAAGGGTGACGCGCTAATTGATCAGCTAGCTAGCTTTGTTAGCAAGCCATGTTCATAAACAGTAAAAGTACAATGCACAGGCCCGCATTTAAGGCAATTAGTGCAAAGTAGCCGAGTGATAAATAAACAGAATGTCACTCACCAAAACGGAAGCACAAGTCTCTTGGATGGGCTGTAGCCCACAGCAATTTGTAATATTGGTCACACAATCCATTAAAACAACTCCAGCAGAGTTGGAAAACACAACAAACTCCTACAAACACTGTGAAGAGGTCCAGTTTAATGACTACTAAAGTGAATGAGGCTTAGCAGACTCTTATTATGATGTCTCTCAATCACCATGGCCACAAAACAAATTTTCAATATGGATGAGTTATAAAAAAAAAATTTCCCCACTCAGAGCTGAGGTGTGGGGAAGGGGGAATGCATAGAGCCCAAAACTGTACAGACACACATTTAAAGTAACACTGCTAAGTAAACGGGAGTTCTTGGGGCCTGTAGTCTTTGAACACGCTCCTGTGATCTTTATGTCTACGGGCGATTTTGGACTTACCCATAACTCAGGATTTATGGTACTAAACTGAAAACAACAAGTGTGGGAACCCAGCAGGGGAAAAAGTCCTGTCATCACATGTAAAACATTGGGACGCGACAACACGGTAATTAACACATCATGCACCAGCACAAAAAAGCCAGCAATGATGTCGACGACTTAACAAAAGTTACGTTGTAGGCTCTACAGAGGTTTGTTTCTTCCACTGTTGAATTCAGTTCAGTGCAATTCAATTCAATCCAGTTATAGTGCCAAGTCAACTTTTATATTCTAAGGTACAAACCCTACAGGTTGTGCAATTGTTAAAAATCCCAACAACTGCACAACCCCTTTGAGTAAGGACTTTGCAACAGTGGGAAGGTAAACACCTTTTAGGGGGAGGACATGTGCAGAAGAACCAGACTCATGTAGCCATTGGCTACAACCGGTTGGGGGTGAGGGGAGGGAGACAGGGCAAAAAACACATGTGGGAGAGAGTCAGAGTATAAAGTCAAAATTACAAATGATTAATTTAAGATTGGTTTATGAACATAAGTGAGTGAAAAAGAGGTGAGTGAAGAAAAAACACTCGGTGCATCATGGGAAGCTCTGAGTCTGAGTCTATTACAGCATAACTAAAGGAGGATTCACCTGATCCACTATAACTATAAGAGTTATCAAGGAAAAAAAGCTTTGAGCCTAATCCTTAAAAGTAGAGAGGGTGTCTGCATCCCGACTCCAAACCGGGAGCTGGTTCCACAAAGAGGAGCCAGAAATCTGAAGGCTTTGCCTCCCATTCTACTTGTAAACATCCCAGTAGGCCTTCGTCTGAGAGCGAAGTGTTTCATGTGGGTGATTACATACTGTGTGATATTTAAGATAAGATGGGGCCTGATTATTCAGGACCTTGTATGTGAGGCGAAGGAGTTTAAATTTGATTTTGGATTTAACCCTTCAAACCCTTGAATCTATGTAATGAAGAAAAGCCAACATGGCAGAAAAATGCTTTCTCTTCATGGTCCTTGTCAGTGCTCTCACTGCAGCATTTTGGATCAACCGAAGTCTTTTCAGAGAGTTTCAATATAATTAGAAAATAATTATCTAATTATGTAATCATATTTAATAGCCCAGCCAAGAGATAATACATGTATAAACTCATTTTTCAGCATCACTCTGACACTGGATGTTTGTCATTTTAGAGATATTGTGCAAATGCAAGAAAGAATCCTACATGTTTCTTTAAAGTCATATCCTGGTTGAAAAGGCTCCACAGTCATGCCATTCAGAAGTCTCGGGTTACAGACGATGTCTCCAAGATTTGAATTGTAAAGCAGAAAATTAGAGGTCATCCAGGTCTTTGTGTCTTTAAGACATTCCTGCATTTAACTAACTGTGTGTTATCTGGCTGCATGGATAGATAAAGTATCTTCTGCATAGCAGTGAAAATGTATACTGTGCTAATGATACTGCCTAAGGGAAGTATACTATAATACCATAAGAACTGGTCCTAACACGGAATCCTGCCTGCAAGATTCCTGGATTCCTACTCTCCACTCTAACCCTCTCAAGGCAGGCGTTGCAGATTTGCAACAGTTAAAAGCTAACAACCTGATTACCCCACATACATATTTTATGAGGTTTTTTTTACTCAGAAGTACCACTGCAGGTATTATTTTGTGCATTAGCAACAAAAACTTAATTTGAGCCTGAGCGGGTTAATAAAAGCCCACAAAGTCTACACTGAAAGCACATATGCACATGCTTCAATGGCATGTCAGCGTGCACAAGACGGCCCCAAGGGAGTGCTCGGTGTAAGAAACTTCATGACCCTGCCTAATTGATATGTGGTTTTATGTGTGTGTATGAGACCAAGTGAGTGTGTGTAGGAGATGAAGAGCAAAATACACATTTAACACTCCAAGCTAACCTCACCTTCTCTAAACAGCACTTCAGACTCTAGGAGAAAATGAACAGTCCTGCCAATCATGTGCTAATTTAGGCTCTCTGGGATGTCTGAGTCTGGAGCCTGTCAGTGTGACAGTCCATATCTCGCTGAGATTTTAAGACAACCGTGAAACAATGGAGCCAAGAGCAGAGGAGACCTCAATCTATTAAACACACACACACAATACCTTGTTGCATCTTCACATTTTCTAACACACTCCCCGACACACACATTCATGACAGAGGGCAGCTCTTTCGATGTGTGCACAGTTAATGTGGCGGTTACAGCTACTTATTGAATGAAATATGGCTGACATGGAGGGTGGACTGAGGCAGTCTCTCAAGGGCTGTGAGAGAACCCTTCAAACCCTTGAATATATGAGCTCAGAAACTGTAAACATGCAAATGCATTCTTAGTGTTTTACACGTTTGCAAAATTGTAAAGTTGAGGGTATAATAGCAGAAAATCTTTATAGGAATATAGCATGCAAGCATTGGATGAACCAGTATAAAACATTAAACTGAATTAATGACTCCATACACTGAAATTAAGCAAATTCTCTGATATGCAAAACAACTATGATAATAGTCATAAGTTGGCTCGGTCTTCATACTCTGGGCTCCCTTAAAAATAATGGGATGCACCAGATTGTCCACTGTGGATGTGAGCTGAGTACTGGGGTCGACACATAAGGGTGTGTAATCACCTGTTCGGAGTATCAAGTGTTTCATTTTTTTATCGTGTTGAATTTGTAGAACTTCATTTACTGCGTAAATCTTTTTATTAATGTAAGGGAAAAGACAGAAGGGTAACAACAACGTGTAACAACTAAAAAATGAGACACTCGGGAATGTAACTATTTGTGTGTGCAGTCTGTGAGCTAAGAATATTTACATGAAATGATTTGTTAGTGTTACAAACCCATATTTAAAAATTATATTCACTGAGAAAAAAGAGACACTATTATTATTATTGTTCAACTTATATATTTTCATATACTGCATCTCCCCCCAAAGCAGTCTCGCAAGACAGCAGTCACCATGAAACACCTATGGGCACTCATCCATCCATCCATTCGCTTCCGCTTTTCCTTTTCAGGGTCGCGGGGGGCACTGGAGCCTATCTCAGCTGTATTAGGGCGAGAGGCAGGGTACACCCTGGACAGGTCGCCAGTCTGTCGCAGGGCCAACACACAGGGACAGACAACCATTCACACTCATGGGCAATTTGGATTATCCAATTAACCTAACCCCACAAGCTGCATGTCTTTGGACGGTGGGAGGAAGCCGGAGTACCCGGAGAAAACCCACGCAAACACGGGGAGAACATGCAAACTCCACACAGAAAGACCCCGGCTTGATGATAGAATTGAACTCAGGACCTTCTTGCTGTGCGGCAGCAGTTCTAACCACCGTGATGGGCACTCATTTCTGCTTTAAAAAACAAAAAAATTCCCAGGACCATTGCTTCCATAAGATAAGATAAGATAAGATAAGATAAGATAAGATAAGATAAGATAAGATAAGATAAGATAAGATAAGATAAGATACAGAATAAAATACTATATACATTAGAATAAAGAACTATACAAAATAGAATAAATAACACGCATCTAAATGTTAGAGAATTTTTAATAGATCTTTGCTGGAGTGCCATTCATTCATTCATTCCATAGATTTCAAATCATCATTAACTGCTTGGCATGTCTCTGATATAATGTCCAAATTTCCGGCAACAATGAAGGCCACAGCGAGTGGGCGTTACGCCGTTGCTTAGTAACGGCTGTTTACCTCCTTCTCCGACAGCTAAAGTAACAACCGTCAACTTCCACTGCAAGAAACAGTCAGAAATTCACAGAACAGGACCTCAGACTTAAAGCAGATAAACATCTTGTGCAACAGCAGGTGTCCGTGACGGTCTGCTTCTACTAGCTACAGGTTTGCTGTTTCTGTGAATTGAAGGCCTGTTGTTCACAGGCTGCTCATTCTATGCAGTTGTTGGGCAGGACACTCGTTGCTCTAAGTGGGTCACACATTTTTCAGGTTTGTCTTTTCACTGCCCTACACATCCTATTAAGAAGATGTATAATAATTATAATTAGTATTTTTGTTGTGTCTTCACCTGGATGTTGCTTTCTGCTAAAGCAACTTGCAAACCGGATGGTGAAAAGATTTTAATGACAACGTTAGCTTCACGTGTTCCTCTGCTTGTCATCAGTATTTCATTTTTTGATTTTGTGAGATGACAAAAACGGTAGTTCCTGAGTAATCACATTAAAACGCTCATCTGGTAGTTATTATAAGAAGACCATGAGCAGCAAGACTCTCAAAGGCTGCTATATATGTCCTGTTTTGGGCAACAAAAAACAAACATTATTATTCATTTATGTAAAGTTGAACAGGATAAGAGGTGTTTCTGCTCTCAGTTAGAGTACACATGAAATAAGTGATTAGACTGCAACTATGGGATGTGGTGAAGGGAATTTACACCCGGTGAAGATGACAGACTTTGAAAGCTGTTGCTTTCAAAGTCTGTCCTACAGTACGCGAACAAGTACCAACAAAGACCCCCTGAGCATCTATATGTAAATGTTGCCCTTTATTCTGGACAGCATTTGGTTTTTATTTAGACTTGTCCTCTGCATTCATATTGTTTTATAATGTTGAGCTGCTCTTTGAGTTTGTGTGTGGCCCACCTCTAGAGCCACACAGTATCGAAATTCTTCCAGCCAGTGATCAGACCAATGAGATACGCCTCTGATACAGTTCTGACACAGATCACCTGTGATTTTAGGATTGGCTGAGCACCTGTGGAGCAGCTGGAAATGAAAGGCACTGAGATGTTAAAGTCCTCAGGCTCGAAAGGAACAGGTGGGTACAGGATTAAATGCAAAGCACGAAGGCAAAAGAAATAACATTAAAAAGTGATTATGGTGATGATTGTCAGGGGGACCAACAAATGCTCACGCACCAGCCGAACCTCTCCTCGTGTATAAAGCTAAAGAGGACAAAGAACAGACTGAGAACGTGAATGTGAAGTGTGAAGACCTTAAGGCTCCAGTGGAGCTTTTAATGAAGGTATAGCAATGCAACTGGTCCAGCTTGTCCACACTTCATGCTCTGTCCACAGAGTGCTTTTTTCTTTGCGTGTCTGAAATGTTTTTGCTTAACTTTAAAGTGAAAATGTTAACTTTCAGTTCCTCGGAGCTCTGAAGGACAAATACTTCCAGCTGGCTGTTAAACTCTGTCACATGAGTACGTATCCTGCGCCTGTCTGCTATACATCTATCTGTCGGTCAATGAATAAGTCAGTGAACCATCAAGTTAGTCAATGCTGCCTCTTCTCTCCTCGCTCCAGTTCTCATCTACGAGCCAGACAATCCTGAGGCCTCAGAGTTCCTCCCATTGATCCAGAAGAAGCTGCTGGAAGGTGACAGTTGTCTTTGTACAAACACTTTAGGCTGCATGTTACAGACTAAACATCGAAGGTGTTGTTTGATTTTTCCATCAGAGCAACACGCAGAGAAAAGCAACGAGGAAGAAAGTGATGATGATGACATTGATTCTGGAAGTGATGAGGACCCCTCTCATAGCTCATCTTGCTCCTCTTCATCAGCCTCAGATGATGATGATCATGGTGATGATTATGAAAAGGAAAACCATGTTTACAAACACAAGCCATGCCCTCCTGCTCATATTTACCCTTATTAAAGCTGTACGACCTGTCTAGCAGGGACTATGTTACCGTACATATATTGTGTTTATTTTAAGGCACACTGCTGCTGCCCACAGTTGCTGTCTTTTCAGTGTAGACACAGTGACAGTTACATATTTTCTCATATTTTCACCTGGAATTAAAGGAGCTCATGTGGACTGAGCGGATGCCCTCATTTCCTGAAAATGTGAACTGATAAATCGCTGATAGATCAGCCATGAAAATATACGGACAAACCACACACACGCTTCCTGATAAATCCGATAAACATTTGCACGTTGACCTGCAGAAGAGACTGTAAATGAATCCACTCGATCAGAGTCATATCCATTTTGAGAATCATTATGTGATTAAATGTAAAATACCTTAACGTGTTTGAACTGATGCTAAAAATGCATTGGAAAATACAACCCTGCAGTTTTATGACCAGACATGCTAAAACTGAACACTAGGAACACACAGCACATACAGTTAGCAGCTAACTGCTCAACACAAAGAAGCAGCTGAGGAGTTTTGGCCTATAGATCTGATGATATGTAAATGCTGCATTCGTGTTCCTCATTCTTGTTATAATAACAGATATTTAAAAGTCAAAAATCTTCTAAGCGGTTATGTTTGATCATCACTTAAAGTGTCATCAGCAGTCTCCAACTATTGGTCTCCTAGCAGCAATCTGGACACTCTGCAGCCAACTTGGCCAACCCTTTGATGCTGACTCTAGCAGTTATGTTAAAACATTATCTAAACTGTCACTGGGACATACAAAAACATATTTATGTATCATCATTCAGATTGCATGAAATTCAACAAAAAAACACTTTCCCCTGGAAGTTTGCACGTCTGCCACCATGTTTGCTGAATCCTCCCATGGCTTTGATTTCAGGATTCTTTAAACATCAGCTCTCTCTCTGTGAAGATGATAAGCGATGCTGCATGACAGGGAAAAGATGTGGTATAAGGAGTATGTAAATTTCACTAATTTGTGCATGAAACAAGAGAGACCAAAGTCATGATTTCTTACTTGTTTTGTTTTTCAGTTTTCACTGTGGATGAGAGCTGTAACGTGACCCAAACAAAAGAACTGATTCTGGAGTCCATCTGGTCCACTCTCCAGTCTTTTGTTATGGCGGCAATTAAATTAGCACAAATAAAATGTTAGCCTATGTAAACTCATAAGCAGTGAAGACCTTTTATGTGCCCTGTTTTAGTGCAGATGTAAATCCCAGCAGCTAAGCCTCCTTGTTGAATGCCATCAGTCTGAGTTTATCTTTATGCATCTCCACATGTCACTTGTGAGTGTAGAAAGATATGATTGGCTCCTGATAAAGGCTGAATAAATTGCAGCGGCTGAATGAACATAATGGCTGGTCCCTGTCTGTGCACTGGATCCAGAGGCAGGCGTGAGGATGACAGAAAGGACACTAAGCCAGCGCCCGCCATGCTTTGAAGTCTCGGCGTTATTGTCCGTGGCGAGGTTAAAGCAGTGAGTAGGTCAGAAATTATGATGTAGGCAATGTTTTCATCTCATGAAGGTGAATATTACAGACAGTGCTTGCATGGATGGATGGCTCCTGGATGGCTTGTCCTGCTCGCTTTATAATGCGTGTGTCCATTCTGGAATAAATGACCTAACAGCTTCCACAGGTCCCCAAAACCCAATCAATCAACAGATATGAGGAGATGGACCGGATGTCCTGAATATGTATCTGTTGGTATTTAAAAGCCCAGCTGTGCAGTTTCATTCCAAGGTCAATTTCTATGTAACCAAATTTACATTCAAGTCTCCACCCTCATCCCTGTGACACCCACCCACACCTGGAGACACAAGAGCTCGCCCACACACACATATACGCACACAGGGGCGGGTAAACGTCATCGGTATTTTTCCTTTTGCTTGTTTGGTTCCTTAAAGTGGATTGTAGCTGTCAGTAGCACTCAGGGAAGCTTCATTAGCCGTCAGGGTGGGAGGCAAGGCTGTGACTCATGCCTGCGTGAAGAGACCAATGGGCAGCCGGATCCTCAGATATAAATAACGAATAAAAATATTCTTGAGTGAGAAAGGGTCACTTGCGCGCCGCCGGATGGGATTTTATCAGTGCGCTCTGTTGATATTCCGCCATCGCCACCACTGGACTGTTTCTTGTCGCGCCTTCGGGTGGCAGTTGTAACATTTAAGTTGTACTTTGTCTGGACTCGACAACCTGTGCGCCCCGTGAGCCGGTAAGATCCCTTCTTTTCTTCTCCAGCTGCACCCTTCGTGTCTGTTTCTTCAGAGGGGGGAAGATGCTTAAACCACTCCACTTTTCAGCCGCTGATATCGTGCGATCAGCTTTGGAGGACAAAATATCAGAGCATAAATTAAACAATAATAATAATAATAATAATAGAATTCTCACATAAATCATTCCCAGACGGGAGACAAAACGAATTTATTAGTTGTTCAGCCTCTCTCTCTCTCTCTCCCTCTCTCGCTGCCTCTCTGTCTCGTGATGACATTGTAGTAAGGTTGGTGTTCAAAGCATATCTTAATTGAAATGTCGATTACTGAGTCAACACATGAATGGGGAACGGTTATTTATGTGGACACTGTCACCTCATTTTATCAATATTTGCTGCCTGTGAAGTATCATTTTAATGCATTCGTTTTATTCTGATTTTCTGATCATCTCGATGATTTTATACGATGGGAAACGCGGGCCTTACCTGTTCTTTCTTTAATATTTTGGTTTTGGTCGTTTAAAATGTCATCTGTTATTAAAAAAAAAAACAACATTTTTTTTCTTTTTAAATTAAACGATGATTTGGTTTTAACGATCCACAAGAACTTACTGCAAGAACGAGCCATGTTTCTTTTGCTAGTTCCCAACTTAAAAACAAAAAACAAATCTGTAAATCTGTGGCCCATCTGTAAACCTGTGTCATGCAGCAGCGCTGGGTTAGTTAACAGCTGACTGAAAGCAACACAATCCGAAGAGTGTCTCTAAATAAAACCTATACCCATGCAGCCATTTTATCCCCCAAAGTATTGCGATGTGCGTCTTGGTTGCGCATTGTGCGCAACTCACTCCAAATTGCGCGGCTTCAGCCGTTTAAGGGAGAATGAAGCGCTCCTGGTGACGCACGGAGCAAAATCCGTGCGTTTTCTGATCAAAATCTCGGCCTGCCGTTTAAACTGCACGCAGTTATCGGAAATCCGACACGCAGTCTCCCCTAACACTGAGTCGTTTTGTTTACAGCTGAATAATTCCCGCACCCGGAAACCAAAGTAACACAGGACTGATGGCTACGTCTGAGCCGAGAGCCGCCGGCGGGGAACAAGACCCCAACTCAGCTAATTTAAGACCTCCGACCACAAGTAGGTCCCCACACTCCTCTCCCTGTTAACAACACTTTGGCTTCGGCTCCCCGAGGCTAAATTGTGTTTATGGTTTTCAGTCTTCAGAGCGCTCGGGCTGTGGTGAAAGCCACTCGGTGCCTTGCTCAAAGACACTTTTGCAGCGCGATCTATCGCCAGCACAGCGGTTTAAACCCAGGTTCACCCTCCACGCGCCTCTGTCTGCTTCTCTCTCTCCCTCTCTGTCTCTCTCCCCTCCTTCCCTGTCTGATAAAGGAGAGTGTAGCCCGGGCCATTTGCTGTGTGGGCTCCGTCGTTAATCATTCCGGTTAAAAACAGAGCCATCACAGCTGCCTGTCGCTGTCTGGCGGACCAGCGGTGCGCGCCGAGCGGCGGACCTGGCAGAAATAATGCGCCATTAAAGCGCTGGCATTTCTAACGATCTCGGAGCGTTTTTCCTGAACGTGTTCTATTCAAAATATGAGTTTCAACCCAAAATTAAAAACATGAAGATTTGAAGATTTGATCCTGTGCACCTTTCGTCTTGATAAAGCAAAAAAATTTGATATAAGAATTGTCTGTAATAATTCTCATAGTTTAGGCATGCTTTTTATTCGCTTCCTTTTTTAAAAAGAAAAAGAAAAATCTAAACCTGTGCATTAACCTGTGGGTTAATTAATCACGTCGAGCCTTTGTCGCATACACAAAATTGACTCCATTAGAGCACACTTGAGCAGCCATCTGCAGTCCAAAGCAGGGAAATAATTGCAGTTTTTGTTTTGTTTTGTTTTTTCAGAAAAACGTTACAGGGATAGCCTGCAGCTCCTTTTGTCCGGTGTGCAAATACATGCTTTATTTTCCCTTCCTCGTTACCGGATACAAAATTTCGAAATCTTTTATTTGTGGCCCTTGAGTGCCAATAAACATATAAAAAAATATTCAGACTTTTTCTTTCATGGAAATTTAAACCAAGAAAATGTCCTTTTAAACTAGGATGTTTGTTTTGTCTGTTTGCTCGCGTACTGCTGCTGCTGGATGTTGCCATTATCTCTCTGCCACGCTCCATCTCACGCCTGGCGGCTTTGCGTGCGCGCGCGTCTGTGTGTGTGTCCGTGTATGTGTGTTTTTATGCCTCGGCCTCCGCACCTAGGGCTGTTTTTTGTCGGAATGAGATTGCTTCAGTAAATTTAAATGCTTGTTTTTTTGTTTTCGCAAGTTCTACATCAGGTACATTCGCCTCGTCGCTTCTCACTTTTTGCGCCGAGCGCTCTGCATCTTGTTCCCTGAGGCTTTCTTCTCCATCTCAGCTCACGCGTGTCCACGCTCCGGTTTGTGTGTGCATGTGTGTGGCACTAAGTGTATATGCATGGGCGTGTGTGTGTGTGTGTGTGTGTGTGTACGTCGACGCACTACGCTCCAAGTTTGTGCTTCAAGCGCCTACTGTATACTTCCAGACCAGAGACATTACCAGCTCGCTCCACTCACATACTGCGATCCACTCAATTAATTTCTGCCCTCCTCCGTGAGCTCATTTCACGGGTGTTAATTCCAGTCCGCCCTTTGGCTGGGTGTGTGAGCCGGCGTGGATTTGCCGTGCGGGTCACTGTCGGTCCCTATTGATTGAACTCAAATCGGAAGTGTTAGCAGACTCATCCCCCCCCCCTCTCTTGTGATCAGAGGGGGTGTAAGGAGGCTAAATCCGAGTTCAACAAAGCAAAACAGTCCGTGCAATTCTTTACAGAAAATATGAATATACCCAAACACCCCACAGTCGCACACCTGGCCAAGAGTCGCTCCTTCACGCTTCCATTTATTTATTTTTTGTTCCATGTGCACGCTGTGCTCCATCACCCGCCTCACCACATTTGCTCGCGGTCTCCACGCTCAGAAACTCAAACGTTCATTTTGTTTTAGCCAACGAATACGCGTGGATGCACGGATGCACAAGGAAACTGGGGATGAAGATTTGCGGTAAGTTTTGTTTCGCCACGAAAAAAATGGTTTAATCTTGAAGATGTTATTTAAGAAAATGAAATAAAGAAATACATTTTTTTAAAGATTTTTTGACATACCATGGCTCTCGATATTGAATTCCGTTATGACTGCTTTCCTTCCTTTTTTTTCCTTCTGACCGGTTCACATTTTCTTTTACGATTTATTATGATCTTACTCATTTCGAGGCCCTCAGAAATATAGGCCACATTACAGGTTGATAGAGCGGGGCGGTCCTCCACACTGTCAGTGTGCGTTTCCATCTTCCAAAGGTCACTGGACATTAGCCTGTAGGTCTGCTGAGGAGAGCCCCGGATCAGGCCCCCCGCCCCTCCTTGCACCCTCCCCTGTCTTTCCCATTTCAGCACCAATAGAAAGATCTCCGGGGCAAGCCTGGAAACAGAAAGCAGAACGTGCCTTAAAATAACTCGTAACGATTTGCTTTTCCTATCACATCCGGTTATTTCTTGAGTCACTTTTCTCAGGCTTACTGTCAGTGTCTCTAATAGCCCCCCCCCCCCTTTTTTTTCTATTTTCTTTTTTGTTACAGTGGAGGGGGTGGATGTGACGTTTATTTTCTCCATCACTTAAAGGAATCTGCTTCTTTCAGAGGCTCACACGATGGAAAGTGTAGATGTTTATTTATTTGCAGTCACGCAAGTTGAATTCAGTGTCGCGTAAAGCTCTACCCATTCAAAAGGCGCATTATTGACCGCTTTACTGCAGCACAAGTCTGAGAAAGTCTGACATTGTTTTGTTTGTTTTTGGTTTTTTAGTAAGTGATCATCGGATTTTCATTAGTTAAATGACGTTTTAACCCCGCGCAGTGGCCACTAATTATTCATAC